ACTGGACTATTCTAAAAAATCATGCTCAAGTGTAATAAACAATTTATAAATATAGGGTGGAGTGAAACTTGGATTTAAAAGAAGGCAAGTTCTGTTTAGTATTGTCTAAAAAACGAATAATTTATAAGTATTTTGTTTATCAACACTTATACAATATATGCATTTTTTAAAGGTATTATTAAGGACACCAACTGTAAACACATATTTATATATCTGTATATATATATATATTTATTTTCTTTATAAAATCTAAATCATATTTTTTTGAATGGCTGATTAGACTAATGTAATACAATATCTTCAAAGTGAAATTAACAGAAACTTAACTAGTCCAATAAGTAATGTTTGTATAGAATTTTCCTCATAAACTGTAAAAGCAATTAACATATAAAATTAAAACATTAAATTAAATTAAACAACAAAAGCAAGAAAAAAATAAAGAGAGAACAAGAGCTGTCTATTTAGACGGACTAAACAGATCGGCTCAAAATTTGATTTTTTGGCTGAGACCGAACTGGGTCAGATTTTAAGGTCCGAAGTAGCTTATCGGGTTAGGCAGACCAACAGCAGGGAAAACCTTTCCATTATGTGCTAGTTGTCAAGTAAATGGAGGAGAACTTCGAGACCTTTGTAAAAATAACTTTTTTAAAAAGTTTTATTAGTAAAATAACTTTTTAAAAATTTTTATTTGCAAAATGACATATTTTTACAAAAAATGAGTAAGTGTCTTTCTTCATAAAAAATAGAAGAAGGTCATTTTGCTAATTTCACTTTGTTGGATAGTCATTCTAGCATATTGCCCGAGAACTTCTCAAGAAAAATGTTAAGGAAGAAATAAATTGTGTTAATTTTAGTCGAATTATTGATGAAATCTCGTTTTGGTCATAGATTTTAAAAAGCTTTCCATAAGTTATTGATTTAGAAATTGTCTCAAATTATTTCTTAAAACATTAACATATAAAATCTCAATTAAAAAAAAACACAAGAATCATAGAGGGTTTAGTATGAGCTAGTTTTATAATTGACATAGCCGTTAAGAAGGAAGCTATATTCTTCTTTTATTAAGCTTTAACAAGTAAATTGAATAAAAATACTAGTTCAAAATTATTTAATAGATTAAAGATTAATTTTATATTTACTTCTTAAATTTTATACCTTATTTCAACATGCACTTTAAATTTTTAAAGTATAAAAACTTATTCAAAACACACCGTATTATTTCAAAAATATTTCTTTTTGTCAACTTACTTACCGATTTTAAAAAAAATCAAGGAACAAGTTGACATAAAAGTAATAACTTTCGGGACAAATTGACTTAAACTTAATAATTCAGGGGTATTTATAAATTATAAAACTCTAAGTAGTGTCACTTTATTAATTTGTTAGTTTTATAAATAGAGGAGGTATTTTAAATTATGGTACATAATTCAGTCGACGAAATGAATTCTTTTCATTATAAATGGTTTTGAAAGTAAAACGCAAAATAAAATGTAGATAAAAATAATAATTGTGAAATAGATAAATTACAAAGCATAAATAAAGTAAATAGACACGAGAGAAGTAGAGATAATAATTCTTATTAGGGACAATGATTTGTTAGTTTTATAAATAGAGGAGGTATTTTAAACTATGGTACATAATTCAATTGAAGCAATGAATTCTTTTCATTATAAATGGTTTTGAAACTAAAAAACAAAATAAAATGTATGTTATAAAATAATTGCGAAATAGATAAATTACAGAGCATAAATAAAGTAAATAGACACAAGAGAAATAGAAAGAAGAGTTCTTATTAGGGATAACAACAAAGATTCTAATTTTGATAAATAACCACACTTGTTCAAAATTAGTGAAATGACCGATTGTAAATCTGACGAGATCATCAATCGCCGATCTTGCAATGCCAATCTTATAAAGAAGACGACAGAGGCAACAACTTAATAGAGAAAGAGAGAGAGGGAGAGAGAGATAAAAAAGAGGAGTAGATTGACAGGAGTGAGAAAGAGGGTAGTACAGAGATAAGAAAGGAAGAGGAAGAAGATGAGGATAAATTTAGAAAATAAAGAAAATGTATAAATGGATTGGCCACATCTCTAAATTAAGAAAAGTTGTGCAAAGAAATGTTGTGCTCTCACCCAAGGATCATCATCAATTTCTCTTCTTATAATATCATCTTGTTGAGTATAAATGCAAACTCTTAAAATAGGCCAAGGATCATAGAGTAAGAGATGCCAAAAGCCATAAGTTACAATAATAAAGTACTACTAATGAAGTATTAATAGTTAGAACTTGGGAGGTTATAAAGGTTATGGAATTCACGAGGGAGTTAGGAATGTGAACATCTACAATAATAAATCAATTTATTCATAAAAATGTAAACTTTTTAGAAAAATATAAAATAAAACAAAATAAAGTAGAATAAAAGTATTTTTAATATTTGCTCTCTAAATTTGTAGGCTTTTGGTAACTATATCCTAAACTTTAATTTTGACAATTTGTCTTTAAATTACAAACTATTACAATATGCTGTATTTTGATAATAATTGTGTTAAATTAATAATGAAAAAGTACATTGGATTAAAATTAACTACCAGTTGCAGTTGCCGGGTATGTTCTTTTGTTATTTTTGAGTTAGGTAATTTGAGTGTATATTTTAAATTAAATTTGAATTATAACTTGAGTTGAAGTTGAGCTTGTTCTTTAGGGTTCGTTTGGTTGGAGGATTCAAATCATGTGATTCGAATCATTTTCGATTTACGTGTATTTTTTGTGAGAGAAAATACTGTAGCGAACCACGAATTATGATTCGAATCAGGGAATGAATCCCTCTACCAAACGCCCCCTTATAGTTTAATTTGAGTATAATTCTTGAATTGAATTTGAGTTATAACTTGAGTTGAACTTGTAACTTGAATTTGTGTTTGGTTGTGTACATTTGAGTTATGGTTTGAGATAAGAATCTTTTTGAGTTTGTGTTTGAGTGAGTCAAAACTTGAATTTGTATTTAAATAGTGTTTTAATAAAAACTCAATGCTGATGAAAAATTTTAATAAGGTATATAGATTAAGTTTTATTCGTCTTTTCGTTATCAACGCATAGAAAAAAAATCATCTCAATCAAAATTAAAACGAAAAAATTATAGCATTTTTAAGAATAGAAAAAATACTGTTAATTAATTTGAGTTCGAGTTTCTAAACTCGAGTTGAAAGAAAAATTTGAACTCGAATTTTAATCCTAAACTCGAATTTAAACTTAAAAGAACATAAACTCAAATAAAGTTATAACTCGAGTTGTATTTTTTTTAATTTTTTACTCAAAAAAATAAGCCTGTTGTAATTTGAATTTATGTTTGATTGTGTAAACTTGAGTTATAATTTGTTTGCGTTTGTTTCAACATTCTTAAGTTGTGAATAGAATCTGAATTTTTTTTTTCCTTTCATTTAATTTGAAATTTATTTGATGGATCATGAACCGCAGACTAAAACCCCAGTATAACGCAACACTTGAGGGAAAAAAAAATCCAGTTTTAAGTTAAAGGTGAAAACTTTTTTCCAAACAGGAAATCGACCAAACAAAAACTGTAAGAAGAATTAAATAAAATAAAGAAAAAACCCATTCACAGCAAGCTCATATTGTTATCCATGAAGAGACAAAAATCAAAACCCATTTGCTCAAGAGAAAGAAGTCAGGTAAGATAAAAATTCTTAAAAAAAAGCCACCAAAAGACTTCACCCAAAATCGCATCCAAAATCTGGCTATATCGAAATGAAAAATATATTTTAAAGAAAATAAAGAAGAAAACGGAAAGGGAAAACTTTTTCTTTACTTTCTGAGAAAATTTGCCTGGCTCTTTCTCGAGAAAAGGAGGACTAGGCGAGAAAAAACAGAACCCGCTAAGCAATGGGATAGAAAGAGAGGTTTTGGACCCTTTGGGTGGACAAAATCTGAGATGAGAAATGATATGAAGAGAGAAAGGGAAAGAGAGAGAGATTAAAGAGGACAGTAATCTCTGAAGCTTGAAGGAGTGATTTGTGGTCAAAAGGCAGCAGAACTCACAGGAATCTCACTGTAGAAGCACGTGAAGTAATAGAATGGCGTGTTAGAGATGGACGAAGCACGCAATGGTCAATAGTCAAGAATCTTCACTGTAATACAGAGAAGTAACTCAAGTTGCATTGGGAAGATAAACTCAAAATAAAGTAGGTAATTCAAATTTATTTTCGAGTTTCGTTTTGAGTTTTGACTCGTTAAACCTAAATTTAGGTCAAATTTAACTCTTAAGTGGACTATTCTCAAGTAAACTGCAGTAACCGAACAAGAGGTAAACATGACTAAAAGACAGTACAAAATTGATAAGACATGACATATTGTAATAGTTTTTCAAATTGAGGGGCAAATCGGTAAAACAAAAAATTAAGGGAATCATCAAAACCGTTCAAGGAGTAATTGTACAAAATAGACCAAAAATATCCACAATAGGCTACAGTAGGATAATCAATGAGCTTCAGAAATTTGATACTCGGTAGTTTCTCATTCACTTTAACGGGAGAAAAAAAATAAGTGTTTGGTTTATAAATTTAAATTATGTGATTATTTTTAATTTATGTATATTTTTTATGAAAAAAAATACTATAATGAATCATGAATTATGATTTGAAACAGTAATATGTAATTTTATGTTAAAATTTTTTATTATAATAAAAAATTAAATATAATTATATTTAAAATTTTTTTATTACAATAAAATAGTAAAATGAACCGGGTGTAATGGACTCGCGGTCTCCACCGTCAATAAGTATCCAGACAAAGGGGGCCCCACAAAATCCTCTCCATCAAGCGGCTCAACGCAAACGCCGAAATGCGCGAGTGAAAACCAGAGGTCGAGTACGGACGTGGATATATATAAAATAAAGAAAAATGTAGTACGAGTTCGCGCTTCCTCGTGCCTGTCCAAAAAAATTTCCACTCCACTCTCATGAGGTCTTTCAGTTGCAGGCTCTGCAAAAAGCACACATTATTTCCATTTCAAACTCTGCTCTCTACAAATAGCAACGCTACTCGGTATCTTTAGGCTTTAGCCTCCGCCCAATTATTTTCCCTCATTTTCCCGAGAAACAAAAGCGGTTTTCGGAGCTGCATTGCTTGGCTCCAACCCTCGCTTGAAGTTGATAAAGATCGTTCGTTCCAAAACCCTCCCCTGCCTGCTCTATCTCCATGTGAGGAAACGATTCTCAAATTCCTTCGTTAATTTGTTCATTGCTTCCGTACTTTCGCGTGTAAATGATTGTATTTTCTTCGTGTATTATTCTAAAAGTAATCGAAGCGTGTTTGATTTTTATATGTACTCGTATTTATTGCACAATGCACATCAGTGTTTTCTTTTTGTTGGAATTTTTCATCGCAATTTGATGATAATAATGTACTATAACTTTCCTATGTCTAGTTTCGAATTTGTTTTTTCTGATACTAGAAGGCAGATTACAATTTTCTGATTGAAAGAGCTACTTGTTTCCTATTTTGGTTGTCTGGAATTTTTTTTTTGTTTTCCTTTTCGTATTTTCTTTTTGTTTGGTTGCTGTTTGTTTTGTTTTCCCTCGAAGAAAAAGAAACCTGAAATCCGAAGATCGAGCATGTTCTTTTCACATTTGAGCTGAGAATTTGGAATGTAAAGTGAATTTTTGTGAGAGAGCAAAAATGTTTCTAAGTTATTGTGTTTGAGTTGTGATTCTAAGTTAATTTTTTTCGGGACTATAAATAAGCTATTTTTTTTTTTCTTTTGTCCGAGTTATAAATACGTTTGTTTTCTCTTGTATTAATCATGATGTTTTTGTGTATTTGGAAGAGAGAAGGAAAACATATTGAAATTTCTCAAAGTTATATGTGATGCTAAATTCTGGGTTCAAGCTCGCTATACTATTACGTTCGAGTTCTCGATATTAGATTCTTATTATTTTGTCTTGCTATTGCAAAAAGTGAACATTTTTCTTTATTTTTTGTTGGCAAAAGTTGTTTATTTTTTGTTATGCAAAATAAACACCGCCTTTGAATTGTTATTTATTTATTTATTTGTTAACCGACCTCTTACCATGATTAGGACGAAGAGGGAAGAGAGAGAGAGAGAGAGAGAGAAACGTATCTTTCACTTTTTTCACGCGATGCGGTGATTCCTGGTTACTGCTTTCTCATTATGTGTTCAATATTACCAACTCTCCATTATACTTTAGCACAAATGTCCATCTTTCATTTGCTTTCAAGTTCTTTGTTTCAAATTTCAACCGTGTCCCTAAGTCCGTGTGAAATGCTAAAAAAATACTAGAATATTTTGACTAGAGAATAACATAAATTGTGTTTTTCTGGAAAACAGAATGGGTGCCGGGAGAAAGACTCAGACTTTCACTTTGCAAGGAAAGACTCAACCTCAATGGACCTCTAACAGCAGCTCAAATTGGAGGAATCTGAAAAAGCAGGATCTTGGGGGTGTCATATTTGGTTGTAAGCACAGCACTATCAAAGAATGCTATTCCAAACAGTTGTTTGGTGAGTAGATTTCCCATCTCATTATGTTTTTTGTACAGTTGGAAAAAGTACACTACTCATTCCAAAAGGTTGACTAACGTTTGAAAAAAAAAAAAATTATCCTTGTTATGTGCTTGCAATTGCGAATCCGTTAATGTCCACTGAATAGGTCTGATATTTCAATACCATTTCTGGAACAGGACTACCCCCTCCGCATTTCTCGTATGTAAAGAACATTTCTCCTGGTCTACCACTGTTTTTATTCAATTATAGTGATAGGAAGCTTCATGGCATCTTTGAGGCTGCAAGTGCTGGAAAGTTGAATATTGATCCATATGGTTGGACTGCAGATAGGTCCGACTATTCTCCATATGCTGCGCAAGTACTATAACATGAGAACTCTATGCCACGTAGTTGATTTTGGTTTCGCTTTTGCATTTACCAGTTTGCTTTTGGTGAATTAAACTGATGACTTTGTGCTATTTGTGTTTTTAAGGTGAGGATTCAAATCCGGAAGCCGTGCCGGCCCTTGCCGGAAGATCAGTTTGGACCAATAATTACTGAAAACTACTATGAGTCCAAACATTTTTATTTTGAACTTGACAGGGTTCAAGCGGAGAAACTAATCTCCTTGTTTTCATCTTTTCCAACTGCTAGCACTCCCTTTCCTATGAATGCAAAGAGGAGAAGCACACCGTCCAAAGCTTCATCTAGGTCTAAAACAAGTCAGGAAGGAGACATTATTGAATCGAATACTTGGAATAGTTCTTATCCTAATCAGGGTAACACAGAATGTGGCTCCTCTGGAGATGGTCGTCCAGGTTTAGGCGCAGAAAGTCAGATGACAGGAATGGTATCTAAGGATTGGGAAGTAGAAAAAGATAAACATGACGGCAGAAGCTTGGAAACTTTGCGTGTTGGACGCTCTAACTCTGCTGTAGTGAGAAATATTGATGCTTCTGCTGGAAATCCAAGTCACTCCAATATGGGATTTTGTAATGCTACAGATTTGGCGTGTGATAGCAGATTGTTGGAAGTTGGGAACGAGGAAGAATCAGGTGGAGAAAGCTGGGGTTTGGAAGCTTCATATCATAAGGAAGCAGCTCAAAATTGTCAAATGCAGGCTGTAGGAGAGACACAAAGTCATGATCATCCTTACTGTCCTACTGTACAAACCCAAAATATCAAGTTGTCAGTTCCGGAATCAAGAAACGTTTCTGACTCAGGTCAATCTGATTGGGGATGGGAATCTCCTCGTTTTGACTCTAGTTTTGACGGAAATATAAAATTTCTAGAAGATCTTGTTGATGATTCGCAAACAAGTCAAGAACACATGGACCTGGGACTGAATAGTGATATCCCAAACTCTTTTATCATGACAAAAGAAACTACCACTTTTACTCTTTGCCCTCAGAATCAAGGTAGAGAATATACAACGGAAGCTCCAGAGTTGAACTCGTCTTATCAAAAGATTGCAAAAACACAGTGGAGTGTTTCATGTGTTGCACCTCATTTGGACAATGAAAGCCCCTCTTCGGAAGCTGTTGCAGAAGAGGACACAAATGATGTGATAGACGAGGAACACATAGACTTCCAATCCAATGGTGAATATACCTCATTTCCTGCTGCGATAACTGTATCAAACAATCATCTTTGGGACGAGGCTGGGGTAACTGGGATGATGTCAAATGGTCCTCGCTCTCCAGAAACAGCAAACATCTCGGAGATGGTGTCTTCTATTGTGGCCAAGGTAATTGAGATTGTCTATCGCACTTGAGCTTTAAATGTTCAGATAATCTTCCATTTTTTAACTCAGTATTGTATGTCTGACTTCCAATTAAAGTTACTTGATGAGGTCAAAGAGCTGAGATCATCTCATCTAGCACAAGTCCAGAAAATCAGTTTGTTGGAGCATGATATGGTATGTTTCTTATTACGAAATGCTAGTTGCTTTTACTTCTTTGGCCAAGTTCCAAGTATTACGTCTAAAAATGGATATTTATTTGGTGCTTCTTCCCGTTTGGTTCATGGATTAGAACCATGAGATTATAACTATTTTCGATTTACGTGTGTTTTTTGTGAGAGAAAATACTGTAGCGAACCATGAATCATAATTCGAGTCAGAGAACGAATCCTCCAACCAAACGGGCTATAGTCTCGTTGTCTTTGTGGTTATGCCTGTATGCATTCTGCAAAACTTGTATCTGTATCATGTGTAATATAATGAGAAAATCTCTAGATACTAGATTATGTTGTCATGAATTGGGTACTGGCAAGTGCTTTTTTCTTTGAATGAGTTGTACAGGTCAAATCAAGATTAGAGATTCAACTCTTAAAAGATAGATGCAAGAAATTGGAATCCCGATCATCAGAAAAAACTGGAAATGTCAAAGAAAAAGTGCTCGAACCATTTATTGATCCCCGACAGGAACTTGAAGAGTCAATACTTTTAGTAGGAGGATTTGATGGTTCTTCATGGTTATCAGCTTTGGATTGTTATCATCCTTCTCTTGATCATATGGAATCCTTTAGTCCTATGAGCCTTGTACGTTCACATGCCTCTGCAGCAAAGTTAAATGGTGAAGTCTACGTTTTTGGCGGTGTATACGAAAATTTGTGGTATGATGAAGGTATTGGTTATAAATTCTCTCTTTTGTATTTTATTTTCGGTATCTTCTTACGAATTCAAAATGCATTGATGCCATTTCTTTATTTAATCTGAAGTTGAATCGTATAACCCGGTGAGGAACACGTGGACTAGGCGTCCTTCACTGAATCAAAGGAAGGGAGGCTTAGCGGGTGTTTCTTTCAATGACACAATTTATGCAATTGGTGGTGGAAATGGTGCTGAATGCTTTTCTGAGGTGGAAATATATCATTTGGGTATTGGAAGGTGGATCCCCACTCAATCAATGCTACATAAGGTAAATTTACTTGGACGCGACTGTTTAGTGCATCTACTTGTTGCCTAAATAATGTATTTAATGGATGCGAATACACACACATATATAGATATATATCCATTTTTTTTTAAAGCTAATGAGGTATTCTGGAGATTTTTCACTGAGAACATGGTAAATATTTCACCCTGTACAACCTGAAATTTTTATGTTGTCTTGGACAATCTTGAATCAAGTTTACTAGCGTATTCTTTCCCTTCTTTTGTCAGAGATTTTCCCCAGCTGCTGCGGAAATCAACAGGGCGATCTATGTTGTTGGAGGATATGATGGAAAGAACTATCTGAAGTATGGTGCCATCCTAGTTTTGTAATTTCTTTGTACTCTTTAAGATTTCACTATCGAGAGTAGTTTTTGATTACCATCATGTAGATCAGTAATTTTTTATTACCACCATGAAGATATCACTATCAAGTTTACAATTTGCTTTTGAGCTACTAGAAACCACTTAGCCCATAAGTTGATATATCTTTGCAAGCCTCTTATTTTTTTTTCCTTGATTTTAATCAAGCATGAAGTTGTCTTACGGTTGTCTATGCATATCTGACTCGGATTGTCCGACTGAAATGATCTCTTTCTTAAAATCGCAGTTCAATGGAGAGATTTGATCCTCGAGAATGCTCATGGACGAGACTTGGGAGCATGTCAACAAGGAGGGGTTGTCATTCCCTGGCCGTTCTCAATGACAAATTGTGAGTTGATCAACTTTAATATCAGTTCATTATAGAGTGCCATTCTTCTTTTGTTTTACTTTTGGTTGAGAGATACGACATTCAGAGCTAAATCATGGAATACCTGTTTGGCAGATTTGCTATGGGCGGTTATGATGGTGGTAAAATAGTGTCAACGGTTGAGGTGTTTGATCCTCGTAAAGGTTCATGGATGATGGGGGACTCTATGAACAGTTGCCGGGGATACTCTCCTGCTGTTGTATTTGGAGATGCAATTTATGCCATTGGTGGCTTGAAGAAGGGTGATGAAATTTTGGACACGGTATGCTTGCTATTTCCACCTCTAACTCAAATGTTTATGAAAAATGCTGGATACATGAGATGATCATTGCCATTGCTTCTTTTTTTGTTTTGTTTTTGTTTTTGTTTATTGTCATGTAAAATTTTGTGAATTCTTCTGTAATAGTTTGTGAATATCATTATCATGTGGATATGTGTGTGATTTGATTAAAGTAAAAATTACACTACATAATAACAAAGTTATGAGGGTGGAGATGAAAAATAAGAGTATTCGACGTATTTTTAGGAATAGCAAAACTCACATGTCATTATTCTAATGATATTCATGTTTATATACTACAAAATGATGTAGTAATTATTCTAATGATATTGATTCCTTTTATTCTAAATTTTTTGTTATATTTCAACATGGCTAATTAAATTTTGCTATATATGTCTAAAAAGAAGCTATATACCAATACGTAATGTGTTATTGTAGTTTTCTTGGAACTTTTGGCACATTTCTAAAGTGTAATAAAACATGATTGCAGGTGGAATGCTACAAGGAAGGCCTTGGATGGCAAGTTACAAATTTGAAAGCCATAGGAAAAAGGTGCTTCTTCTCTGCCATTGTCTTGTAATGTAAGATCGGAAATTAAAAGGTTAAAAAGAGGCGGCGTTGCCCAACTCTTCTTGATAAGACTATATGGTAATTATCATTATAGGTCCTTTTTCACTTCAGGTTTCGATTAAACTCTTCTAACGAAACACAAAAACTAGAAAAAAAAAAAAAAAAGTAAAAATCGGCACATGAAAAACGTACATTACATTATATGAGTACGTAAACAACTGGCAACCAAGTTAATTACTTTCGCTTAAGTAATGGAAAAAGTAGTAATTTTATGCAGACAGTCAATATGGTTATATGTTTCCTGACTCTAAATCAATCGACTTCTAGCAATTTGCTTTTCTTTAGTGGCGTATGAGTATTTACGCGGTATGTTTATTAAGTAATCACTACTCTGGATGCAAAATCTCTAAAATCTCTCGGCAAGGACTTGGAAATAAATGTTTTATATGATACCATGTCCCAATAGTCTTTCCTATCTTTGGTTTGATGTTTGGTTTGGTTTGGTTTGATGTGAAATGAAATTAATAAAAATAAGAATATAGTAGAATGAGAATAGGATTACATTGAATAACTATTCTAATTTTATTGTTTGGTAGGTCGTTGTAATTAGTATTGGAAATCATAACTATTATGTTTGATTAGTCATTAGCAATTAGCAATGGAATGGACTGATTAATTTTGAAATGAAATTATCATAGTTCACTTTAGGAATGTCTTCAATCATTTTAATGGAATAACAATTTCATATTCCAAAGCGGTGTAGCTATTTAGAACTCCTTGTCTAACCAACACAGTTAGTCGTTAAACTTTAAGCATGGTGGTTTTAATCTTTGAACTTTTAACTTTGACATATTAATCCTTGAACACACATCTTTTTTTTTTTATTTACATTTTTTTTTTTACAATTTTCGTCACTGACGTCAAAATTGAACGTAGATGATCACAGACTTATTTTGCATAAATAGCTACAGTAGTTTTTAACGCGTTTTAACTATAAGAGAAAATTTTGCATATAGCTAAACTTTTTTAATAAAAATTTTAAGTTATCATGCACATCGTCAATTTTATTTTCAAGAACCAAAATTATCGAAAAAAAAATAAAATAGAGGAACTAATATGTTAAAAGTTTAGTATTCGAATTTATTATGTTTAAAATTCAAAAACTAACGGTGCCAAGTACCTTTTGTATTGTGATTCTATTTCAATAGCCTTTTTATCAAACTAAACACACCCTTAAAGCACGGTGGTTTTGATCTTTGAACTTTTAACTTTGACATATTAATCCTTGAACTGACATCTTTTTTTTTTATTTACATTTTTGTTTTCAAATTTCGTCACTGACGTCAAAATTGAACATTAGATGATCAGACTTATTTTGCATAAATAGCTACAGTAGTTTTTAACGCGTTTTAACTATAAGAGAGAATTTTGCATATAGCTTAACTTTTTTCATAAAAATTAAGTTATCATATGATGCACACGTCCATCGTCAATTTTATTTTCAAGAACCAAAATTATCAAAAAAAAAATACAGGAACTAATATGTTAAAAGTTTAGTATTAAAATTTATTATATTTAAAATTCAAAAACTAACGGTGCCAATTACCTCTTGTATTGTGATTCTATTTCAATAGCCTTTTCATCAAACTAAACACACCCTTAAGGCGTGGCTTCGTTCAGATGCAAACGAACTCTGCGACAACACTATTTTTCACTCTCCAGACTACCTAGCAAGTTCATTATCTATTAGGGAAAGAAAAAAGCAAGTTAGAACCATTCAGTTCGAGAATGTTTGGTATATGAGTTCTGCTACGATGTTATGGAATTTAAAAATCTTTCAAAACTTTTTTTTTTTTTTCTAGGGTCCCACGGGATTGGCATATTTTTTTCTTTTTAGTTTCTAACTGTGGAATGATGCAATGATGCACGCAGATGCGCATGACTACTTTCAACGTCTTAACGAAAAGTAAAATCCACGGTTCAACAAGTAACGCTGAGAGAGAGAGAGCCAGTGCAAAAGGTTTTGTCCAGTCCAACGAATGAACCTATTTCTCGTCGCTAATGCTCAATTAATTAATTTTTCCTTGGTCTCGATTGATTTTAACCGACCAGAAACATCAATTACAAAATCACCAACTACATCCGAGTCTCATAACGCCACCAGCTTAATAGATAAAAAAAAAGAGATGGAATTCCTTTTAAAACTCAGGGAATTAATGAAAAACCTTGGCGATCTCCAACTGAAATTAGCAGGAATTTGCCATAAAGGAAAACCTCACTTGATACCGTGAAACGATGGCAAAACAGCAATAAGTGGGTCTCCGTAACCAACAGCTTCTGTAAACCACACATAAATAGAGTTCAAAGAGTTAAAGCTCATTCAATCCTCAAAATATCCGTTACAAACTCGTCCGTATATATAAACGAATAAAAGCTCATTCATTAATGCTGGACTAGAAGTATAAATCATTATAGACAATAAAGTCCGTCCTTTTTCACGATCTTCTAAAAAGGAAAAATGATCTATAAAAACCTAAAAACCCTTTTTACGTCATGACGAGCGTCAAAATATTTTGGCTATTAACACCACTTTTCCAAACTCTCGGTCTGCAAACACAATTATTGAGGTGAACTAAACCTATGTCTTTATTTTTCATCGTAAAACGTGTCCCATCAGAAGCTAATAAGCTACATTTAGATAAAACATAAATGATCTTGAAGGCACGATACTTAAAAGCTTATTCAGTTACGAACGTAACAATTTGAGTATAGATTTTAAATCGAATTTAAATTATAACATGAGTTAAAATTATAATTTAAGTTAAAATTATAATTTAAATTTGTGTTTAATTATGTACATTTAAGTTATAATTTAATATGAGAATATTTTTAAGTTTGCACTTGAATGGGTTAAAACTTAAGTTTGTATTTAATAGTATTTTAATAAAAACTCAATGACAATAGAAAATTTTAATAGGGTATATGAGTAAAATTTTATTCGTCTATTCATTGTAAACGCATAAAAAAAAAGAATCATCTCAATCAGAATTAAAACGAAAAAATTATGGAGTTTTTAAGAATAGAAAAAATATTATTCGTTCATTAACTTGAGTTTAAGTTTATAAACTTGAGTTGAAGGAGAAATTTAAACTCAGATTTTAACCCCAAACTCAAGTTAAAATTCAAGTTCAAACTCAAATTTTACAAAAAAACATGAACTTAAATAAAGTTATAATTTGAGTTCAAATTTAACGAACAAATCCTAAGACTTGTGATTTCCAAATTATGTACTGTTTTAAGATCATATTTCGTACTCACTCTCTGTGACCGGCGACACAAACTCGATTATGTTAAGCAATTCAAGACATTGAATATATAATATAAATAAACAACCATAGGCGTTTTATTTTACCTCCTTCAGTAAAGAGGACCTTCAATACTTCTCCGCCGATGTCCGACTGCTCAGTATATCAAGAACAAACCATCATGAGATCCATTCTTAATGAAAGTACACACATATCAGTAAGGAACCGAAACAGAAGCCTTACCTTCACTGGAAGTTCGGTGCCAAACTGATCCACGTATCCAATAACTTGTCCCTCTTTAATTACATCTCCCTGTAAATTTCAGAGTCAAGCAAACCCCAATTCAGAAAAAGCAATGGTGCGTTTCTATGCAAATTTAACCCAAATTTGGTGTTTGGATTGTGTGAAATGAGAAGCATGAAGCCGATACCTAGTTGACAAGAAAAGTAAGGCAGATGCAAACATTGGATCGGAATATTTATCACAAAAGTATGCACTCCCAGAAACTACTGGCCATATCTCACCTATATTATTAATTATACTCATATTTCTGTTTCTAACAAACACCTTTGCCTCAAAGCAGATGGTGCATATCTCTCACTATTTGTGTCCAGCAAAATAACTTGAGCAAAAGAAATACTCCGTCTTATAAATTTTACGTTTGGGCACTTAAAACATAAATACAAACTATGATAAACAAGGACACAGAGCAGGAAGTTGAAATGGTTACGGATGTGTTTTTAAACGAAATGCCCAAGAATATTTTTGCTACTAAAATATCTGAGAAACATAAAAATGTTGTAGAAAGCAGACATGTAAGAGATACCTCTTTACATATAGGCGGTTGCTTCTTTCCTTTCACAGTCCTTCCCCTTCGGAATGAGCCAACCTGGCCAAAAAAAAAAATAGTTGCAGTTGGAACATTCAATATTCTACCAAACAAAGACAAAGGACAACTGTCTTCACAGGCAGAACATATACCGTTGGAGAAGACACAAGCACATATGCATTAGATCCAGAAGCCTCCAAGGCTGCTAATTTTGATGTTTTCACCATGGAGACATTTGTAAATGGACTGGTAGTTTGGGAAGAAGTTTTGGGTGGTGATGGTGGTGGTGCAGCAGGAGCAGATTCAACCATGGGTTTAGATGGAATAGGCGGTGGTGATGTTGGTGATATATGGGACAATGGAGCTACTGTGGCTCCAATGTTCCGCTTCAAGTGCATTTCAAAATCTCCAACCTATGACAGATACGAGTGCTAGTCAGACTATAGAATAGACAAAAAGCCAACAGTTTCCAATTTCAGTAGCCTATTGGCAGTTACTATACTGTAGAATTGTCCAAGTACTTCCCTGAACTGTCACTAGATGGTATACAAGATCTTTATATTACCGTTCTTTGGCAGATTTATTCACATGGAAACTGCTAATGGGTTTCAGCTATTTGAAGTATGAACAGAGTTAATAAAATCTAGAATTGTGCGGATGCTAGATTCTAACTTTAGTCTATTTCAATTCAATGAACTTTTTGTCTTTTATCGAAAGGAAAAAAAACAAAAAAAACAAAGAAAGAAAGATCTCAAATCACTAAAGAGAGTTGTGAATTTGACCCCATTTTCTAGCAGCAAGTTCTTGTCCACCTTAGTGTTACAATGAAGGAATAAGACTCAGCAGGCACTAAAGGGGAATCAAAAATCGGTATACAAGATCTTTCCACTATGGTTTACCTCGTTCTTTTGCAGTTGCTCACATGCCAACTGCAGATGGGTTTTTGAGCTATATGAACCATGAGCCACGTAAATAAAATCTAGAGCTTGTAAGGATGTTATGATTCTATTTCGAACGTATTTTTGTTCTTAGAACCTTTTGCTTATACATTAAATGACAAGAATGTGTTCTAAATGAAACCAGATAATTTAACAGGGTCTTCAAGTTCACCTTTAACTTAAGTTCAGCAATCTCTGTCTCATCGCAGACCTCTAGCATCAAAGCCTGATGATTTTAAAACAATAAATTAAGGCAACTGAGCATCAAAATAGAATAAGCGATGCAAAATCTTGACTGTAAAAGGTCAAAGTGAAATTATAAAGTTCCACAGGCAATATGACACTTTAAACAAATCAATTGGAATCTGACCAACAAAGAAAAATACCATATAAGTAACAAAACAAGTAAATGGAGGAAAAAGCTAATACTAAATTTATGCTCACCTCAAATCCGTTGGGAAAAATTGCACTTCGTGGAGTTTTCTCCAATGAGCTTTGTGGAACACAATCTGATGAAATTGCTCGTGATAAGTATCAATTCAATCTTGAAAAAATATACTTGGATAATGAAACACTATATACTAGCATATACAAAAATTATTACAAGTCTTAAACCATATTAAGTTTTGTGACTATGGTGGACCAACCACCAGCAATAAGAGAAGCGGCAATGCCATTTGGGCAACAATTTCTGGCAGCTCCCCCTTGTAAATAGAAAGGAATGAACTTTCACAAAGGATTGTGTAATGAATTAAGCATAAAACATGAGAGTTGCTTACAAGAGTGTAGTTCTATTTTTCACATATAATACTCTATAATCAGCCTGAATTTCTGTAAATGAATCCCAAAACGAACCTCTTTCCCGAGAAAAATAACAATAAAATAGGAGACAAACATGAGGAGTATTGATTTTTCAGTTGCACAAACTAATAGACAACCATGTTAGCCAGTTTCAGAATAGGATGAGCTCACCATTCGACTTAGCTGTCTCCTTAGCTTCAGATGTCTTTACACATGAAACTCGGAATCCCTTCTGCTTTCTCGGAGAATTGATTAACCTCCCACTGGCAGTCAAACTTGGGATGCAAGATCTGTTTGCGTTAAGCTGCCTAGCATTATACACAGGAACCATACCAGGCTTCTCAAGGAAAGACTTTGTACGTGAAATAGTGTCCACTGAAAATTTCATAATATAACAATCACATGATTTCAGATCATCCTTTAGTACTAGTTGAACCGTTCAAGGCTCCAAGCCTTGCAGAGTAAAAATTCAAATTACATGCATGCAAGGAAACTAACACGCATAAACTCACATATGAATACAGAGAAGTACTAAGCGTAATCTCTAATAGACTAGTTTTACATTTTCACAAGAAAAAGTAGCAGGAATACAGTAGTTCATTTCACTATAAACGAATCAATTCAGATTATATCCAACGTATTGACCCAATACCACATAATAGCCCTTCGAAATTATAACACCAGAAGCATACGATAAGTCAAGATCTTTAGTATAACTGAAACAGTCGGATACTCAAAGCCAAACATGACTACATAAGCATACCTAGTTTACCTACATGTATGCACATAGTATGTAAGTCAAGCAGCATTAAAAGAAAAAAAGAAAACAAAAACTCATATCAGAATCCAACGATTGAACCTAAGATTAAAGCTATCGAATCGACACTACGGACTACGGCATAAAATTGGGAATTCGGTAGAAAAAAGTAAATAAACTCATATATGGAAAAATAAATTAAGCACACATGCTAAGTTAGATCCATTAAGCTCAAGGAAACTCCAATTGAACAGGTCAAAATCACCATTGACATCCTTAAAGCTCCAAATAACAAGCAAACGAAGATCACATTGAACAAATACTAGATCCCACCGCCCTCGAGCCCAATTTCTACGTTGATTTCCAAATTTTCCACTTAACAAGGATTCACGATTCTTTTCAACATAAAGTACCGTCAAAATCGATGTATTTGTTCATTCTCTCAAATCTCCTCGTTGAAATCAACCAAAAAAGCTCAAATCATCCTCATTCATCGCAAGCGAACCTCACTCGAAAGTTCACCGATACATAAAACAAGCAAACACAACATGCAGGTACACTCAGACATGCCAAATCTAGAGAAAGAAACTTACATTGAAAGGATCGGAGAACAGCGGAGGACTCCATGGAGAGAGAGAGAGAGAGAGAGAGAGAGAGAGAGAGAGAGAGAGAGAGGCAAATAAGCTCGAACAAGATGCGGATTGAGAGATGATTTTGGGATTTGACGAAGCAGAGATTTGAGAGAGAGAGAATATGAGGAAAACGAAGAGGCGAAGAAGAAATGAGGAGGAGAAAATGATGGGTATGGGTTTGGTTTAAGCGCAGTTGGGGAGGTTGGGCTTTGAAGTGTCCGCCTCTCTCTCATCAGTTTCTCCGTTTTAGCGCAGACTGATCCTCGCTAACGTGCGCCGGGGTCTTTGTCCACGTGTACGTGGCTCTTATCTGGCACGGACACTCCTTTGGGATTCACGATAGGGGGATTTTGGGCGTGTGATTGTAATTTTCAAGGTGTACGACATCAAAATTAGAAAACGATTGCAGGATCTGAAAATGTTTCCCTTTTTTTTTTTTGCCTTGTGATGTCGTTTTGCCTCTTTCTTCAAATGATTCGCAAGGACACACCACCTTCTACTAATCTCCCCAGGCCTCGAATTCAGCAATCAACTCTAACGTTTTTTTTTTTTTTTTTTTTTTTGTGGTCAAATGTGAGGATGGAAAGTATGTAGACATATCATATCAAGTAAGAAATTACACTAGAATCATTCTAAAATATAATTTACGAGGAATTATAAGATAATACGGGAGGAAAAAAAATGTAAGAAGTAGAATTCTGAACCGTTAAATATTCATAGTTAATTTTTAATGTAATTTAGGGCTCATTTAGAGTCTGTTTAGTTTGTTGATTCGAGTTGAGATGTGACTTTATGTGAGAGCTTTTTACGAGAACAAAAAAATCAGATATAACTGTTTCTGATAGCTTTTTACTGTAGCAAAACTCGAATCGGTGAAATGAACGATACCTTATTTTATGCGTTTAAACTCATGATTTTGATTCTGCTACAGTGTTTTCCTCTCACAAAAAATTTAAATTTTAAATGTCAAAATTAAGAATCACTAGTTTAAGCGCATGAACCAAACGGACCCTTAAAGATTAAAAGACGTGTTTCTTATAGGTCTGTGGCACGTTGATAACTTGATATAACTCGAAATCATGAAGATAATGAGTTTAGTTTTTACTATAAATAGATATGGGTTATAATCGAGTAGATACGATTAACACCATTAATAATTAGGTCATGTTTAGATTGACATTTTTAACATGTTTAATAAATAATTTATATTTGAGTTTATATTTTCTGTCACAATTTATAAACAGATTGATACAAATATGACCCATAAGCATAAATTGTGAGCCCTCTTACATCCCATATGGTTTAAATTAACGTTGTCACATATACAACTATGACAACATTGAAAGTGGCCAATGTCTACATACTATTAACAATACGTTTCAGCTTCTTTACTATCTTAAAATCCAATAAATTACAATATTACAATCCCTTTATTTCTGAGCCATCTAGGTCTCCCTCTTAGGCTAACAAATCACAAGGTTAAGGATCTCTCTAAACTCCAACCTCCTAGTCTCAGTATAACACGTTCTATATTTGTTAGGCCAATACGTCAACCAAATCCACCCCCTTATTTCCCACTCCATTGTCGTTCCCATGGCAGCTTTGTCCACTTTCCACACCACACTCTCTCCATACTCATCTCCAGCAAAAACCACACCTCCTTGTCTAGTAAAAGGCCTATAAGCACTAGAATATCTATGCTTAAACCAAGCTTTGGGGTTCATCAAAGCAATCTTTGATGGCTTAGAAGAGAACACCTCTCTCCCATTCACACTGTCATGGAGATACCAATTCAGGTTTGCGCTGTATCCGTGCACGGATTCCTCGAACTTCCACGGCTTCAGGCTCATTGTCACTGTCTCCCCGGCGGATACCTTGAGCCCCAAGTAAGGGTTCGGCGGTTCAAAACCGGCTTCTATGGTCTTCTCAAGGCCAATCTCTCTCACGGGGTTCTGGGAGGATTTGCTCACTGATACGCTTAGGACGTTGGTTTGCAGGGTTGGAGTGAGTTGTAAGGATATTCGTGATGGGAAGTGCTTCTCTGATGACCCAACACCTCGTTCGGACATCAGTGTCTCGTTCACAAGCTTGATAACATCACATCTGTTAAGAAAGACAAGAAATGGATACAATGAAGCCTCTTGTTTTGAATTTGAAGCTTTTGTGGTTAAAAGAATATATAGAAATTTCCTATTGGCACAAATGCCACTGAGTAACTTTATTGATTCGGACTTAGATTTTTAAAACGCAAAAAAAAAAAAAAAAAATCAATCCTTCCTTCTAATTTTTTTTTTTCGGCCTTAGATTTTTAAAACCCAAAAAAAAAAAAAAAAAATCAATCCTTCCTTCTAATTTTTTTTTTTTTCACAAATAAACTTTTATATCTAAAAATTAGTGGTTAATGATATTTAATGCTTTTAAAAAAAAATAGAGAGATCTTTTTTCATAAAGTTATGAATAAATAAATTGTTTTAATTTTTAGAGTATTAGAGGCATCTGCTACCAAACTTTTCATGAATGACAAGTTATGTACGTCCTAAAATTTTAGTATTGATAACTTACCCAACAATTTAAAAAAAGTATCGCAGAGAATCCCAAATCAACGATGAATGTTAAAATTTTGATTAAACATCCTCATACACACTGTGAACTTGTTTGAAAAAAGAAAAAAAAATTTTAAATGACTATCATAGCACATCACATTATGTGTACGGGAATGTTCCGTTCTAAAGACATTAAAATTCATCGATTTGGGACACTGTACAACCTTTTATTAAATGTAGGATAATTCGTCACAATAAAAAATTTACCGATTTAGTACAATTCAGGGACAAAAGCTTCAAAATCCCTTATTTTTAAGCCAAAAGTTAAGTACCAAACGTTTGGTACAAATCCCAAATACTGTATAATGAGCTATAAAATGCAACAATTTTAGGAGACGTTTGGTTCATGGATTAGAATTATTTTCGATTTATGTGTATTTTTTGTGAAAAAAAATACTATAACGAATCATGAATTATGATTTAAATCATAATATGAATCACTGTACCAAACGTCTCCTTATACTGATTGATCTGGCATATGTACCTACCTTATGTTGTCTATATTTACCACGACACCAACCCACGAGCCTTGAGGCACGACCCTGTAATTGAATTGTACAACACCTTCTAGCTGGTGGTAATTCAGAGAGAATTGCAACCTTTGATCATCATCATGATGACCCGAAGGAGTAGTACTAGTAATTATAGTACTGCTAGAACTACTGCTCTCCATGTTCATGGCGATCAAAGGGCAATAGAGCTGAACTTTCCACAATCCGAAAGTGGAAAGCGCGTAAGAGAAGAGAGACGACGGCGTTTGAATCATGGCAGTCGTACTAATTCTTCGGCCGCAGGCTTGGAGCTCGGCAATCCAGTTTGTCACGGCAAGGTTTACGGACCTCATCCACCGATCTTCCAAGTTGGACCCCAGCATTTTCATGAGCAATTTCGTCGCTTTCCTCGACCGGCAATTCATCAAGTGGTTCTTGATCGTGTCGAGGCAGTCGCGGCGGAGAGCTGACGGCGCTTCGTAGATGCAGACGAGGAAGAAGAGAGTTAGAAACGCGACGTTGAAAGTTTCCTTGACGTTTTGTAGGGAGTGATCATAATCCACTCTAAGGAATTTGATCATGGAATTGTTGTTGTTGTTTGAGCCATAGCGAAGGACGTCTTCAATGAAGTTGAGAAAGAGAGGCAATACAATGGTTTGGTCATCTAGGGAGTTGTTATAGTTAGTTGATAATGATTTGGAGCTGATTTTGAGGGGTTTTGAAGTCCAAAGAGAGATGGGAAGGTTGAAATCGGCAATTATGGAGAAACAAAGAAATGGGGTTTGGTTGTTTTTTGATATGGTGAGGTTGAGAGATGGTTGGGATATTGAAGCTGAGGAACATAGGCAAAGGGAAATATTGGAAGTTTTTTGCCATTGAGTGATTGGTGGAAGGTTCCGAATCCATGAAAAGATATCAGGAAACACACAAGAAGCCATGGAAAACAAATATGGACTTAATAAGTTGATTAACTTCTTAATTTGTCACACTATGTTGGATGGGGTTTGAACTGAAAATGATCATGATATTTAAGGACTTGCTCAATACTAGAAGAAAAGCTAGGATTCTTTGGTTCGTAAGGAAAGGAAAAAAAGGGTCAAAAAGTAAATGATTCGTTATAAGATGATTAGCATTAGAGGAACCTTGTAGAGTTGTAGATGGATAGTTGTACAAGGAAAATTAACTACTATATATTGCACAAAGCTAATATGTGAGGATTCGTCCTAACCTATATATACTTTTTTTATGGCGACAAATAATTAAGTTTAATTATTTGTATTGGGCCAGCACCACAAGGAATATCGGCTAAGCTTCTTGTTGAAGAGTTCGCTCCATATATCCATCATGCTTACTAACCTCTACAAATTTGATGGATTATGCACGTGCTTTAATACATGATTTTCAAAAGAAAATTTGGAAAAACATAAATCAAATAAATATTGGATAATTTGGTCACTAAAACTTGATAAAACATCGTAATTTGCGATAAAAATTGTTTCTTATTACAAAAATGTCCATGAATTACTTGCTTGCGAATTGGTCTTTAAAACTAGCTAGCTAGCTATCTACGTAAAGCATAACATAAATGGTATATAGTCGGAAAACAGGGAAACTAGTGTACGTCTATAATTAAAGCGTGATGGAATCTGCAGCTAATATGTATTTGGCGAACTCTTTTTATAATTTCTTGAGTAAGCAAAATATGCTAATTATAACTAGTTACCATTAATTTTCTTATAACAAGTTAAGAATGTCAAAACTTTAGCCAATAAGGAAGTCTTAGAAGTAGTTACGCTAAGAGGTAGTTTAGTACATGTTTGAATGAACATCCGTTGATACCATCTCTTTGGAACATATTAAGTACATATCTCTTTGGAAATGTAAAAGAAAAAAGTCGCTTAATGATCATTATATATATCATATAAAATGTATATCTTCGGATTTAAGCCACCTTTTCTTTTCTTTATATAGTTTAAACCAGACTAAATGGGCCCACTCGAGACCCACAACTATTGGTTCAGACCCAACCGTAAATTTTTTGGGCTGGCGATCCTCTCTCTTTTAGGGCCAGATCAACCCGACTCAAATATCATATTTAGTTTTTTTTTTAAATACCTTATAAAATTGCACTCCGCCCTAAATTTTTAGGCTTGAGGCCTGGCCAGACCGGGTCCGGCCAACCCTTTCTCTTTTAAAATTGGCCCGAGCCGGCCTGAAATTTCTTTTTAAACAATCTAAATTTACTTTTAACAGAAGTACCAAACATTCGTACATTTATTCTTTAACAAATTAACTTTCCTTAGACGTTATTAGTCCTGCAATGGGTTCACAACTAGCAATCTGCCAATGCAAATGTTAAAAATGACACATTTGATATATATATATATATATATATACATATTAACTCTAATACATTTAAAATGTGTATTCATCTTCTATCAGAAATAGTAAAGCTTTCTTTATTTCATGACTCAAGTAATATTATTACGGTGTTTCTTTTCACCAAAATTTAAAATTAATTTTTTTTGTTACAGTATTTTGTCTCTCACATACACAACTTAAATTACAACTCAAGTTATGACTTAAATTGGAAAATAAACATACCCTATACTTTAAAACTTATGAAAGCAATTTTTAATTTCTTTAAAAATTAAACATGATAATATTATAATAATTAAATTAAAATGGCTAATTTTCAGATAAAAAACTGAAAATGGTTAGTACAACAACAATAGTAAAATCAAATGTCAAAATTTAACATTTGTCATACTTCGTGTTAAATTGGTCACCCGATATAAAATATATCAAATTTAACACAAAATACACTATACCGGAGATAATTTTTTCACTCGAGCGCTGTATTAAAGATGCTATAATACGTACTCATGTATCAAATGCGTTGTACTCGTTTTTGTCGTTCTCCAAAATGACAATCGCCATGACATTCGTCAGGTGCATTGTCGTTCTATTGCATGTCGTATAGAATTTAATACGACATGTCGTTTTTTTCCACTTTGCTGTGGTGTCGTTAACCTTGGACAACTTTATCTGCATAATCAAAATGAGTTGTTTTCTTCGTTTTCCAATCCCAAAAAGAAAGGGGAAAAAAAAAAGAAAAAAAGAACACAGTGATGTTTTATAGTTTCTACGATGCCGTTTAACTTGTTGCTGTTTTCTGTCTATTGGACAAATCAGTATATCGGTATCCCCAACGTTCATGATTAATCAACTTGCTTCATCTGCACCGTCCATTTCGAACGCGCTTTGGGCACCCAAATTCCTCCCCACACAGAATCATTTCCTTATTTCGCCTTTCCCTTTCCGATTGTTGGCCTACTATATTCTCTCCCACAACCCAGCCCCCTCTCTCTCTCCCTCCCTTGTCTCTCTCGATCTCTCGCCAATTTCATAAGTGAATCCCACGCTCCATCCATGGCTTCCCCACCGACACTCCCGGTCTCAAGCTCCCAACCCGCCGCGGGTGCCACCTCCCAGCCGCCGATCGCCACTCCCGCCTTCCGCGCGTTCCTCTCACGCCTCTCCGCCTCCCTCCGCAACGGCTTCTCGCAGCGCCGCCCATGGCTGGAGCTCCTCGACCGGAGCTCCATGGCCCGACCGGAGTCCCTCTCCGAAGCCTATTCTCGGATCCGCAAGAACTTCTCTTACTTCCGCGTCAACTACGCCACCCTGGTCGCCGTCGTCCTCGCCCTGTCGCTCCTCTCCCATCCTTTCTCACTCGTCGTCCTCCTGTCTCTCTTCGCCGCCTGGGCCTTCCTCTACCTTTTCAAGCCGTCCGATCAGCCCCTCGTCATCCTCGGCCGCACCTTCTCCGATACCGAAACCCTAGTCGGCTTGATCGTGGTGACGGTTATCGTCGTCTTCGTCTCCAGTGTCGGATCGCTCCTGATCTCGGCGCTAATGGTCGGATTCGCTCTCGTGTGCGCTCACGGTGCGTTTAGGGTTCCGGAGGACCTGTTTCTCGACGATCAAGAGCCTACAAACGTCGGATTCCTCTCCTTCCTCGGCGGCGCCGCCTCGGCCGCCTCGGCCGCTGCTCCCTCCATCGCCTCACTCGTGTAGTGGAATATCTTTGTGCCCTAGTAATTTCAAGGTTTGTTAGAGTGAATCTTTGATGTACTCTTTGCCTTTGCAAATTGCAATTGGTGATTCTTGTTTTCTTGTTAGAAAGAGCGATTTATTTGAGAGATCATAGAACAAGTGTTAGGGTGTTTTGGAGATTGGATTTGGTTCTGAACTAAATTTGTTCGGATAATGCTGCAAGATGTAAACTTTTTCTTTGTAACGAAAAATTTAGTTCCTATAACATTCATTTCTTATGTTCTCCAACTCGTGCTTTGTTATTGTTGTTCAATTATTTATCTTGAGAAAACGTCTCTGCTATTACTTCCTTGTTTCTTTTAGTATCATCTGCAAGTTTCATTTTGGTTATGCCCATAGATTCCTATTATTCCGGTACTTGTGAAGTTTGTTAAATTTGCTGTCTTGATACAGTGGTAGTGAAGGAAGTGTGCTTGTCGAACTGCAATGAATTAGACCTGCGTTAGTTATTTTCAATTTACTAGAGAAGTAAAAAAGAGTGAAGTAAGACTAAGCTGATTACCTTATGATCTTAGGTCGGAACATGTTAATAGGATCTTTTTCTCGCCCCCCTTTTTACGTGGGGGCATAAGAAAGGAAAGAGGGGGATGGATATTACTCAGTGGTAGATCCCACCCTTGATAATTGCGCTGTTGTGCCTGGGCTGTGAGGGCTCTCAACCAGATGTATAGTTCAATGCACCTTACATTTCGAATCGGGGTTTAAAACCAAACTACTCCTTATATGCTCTCATGGATACGGGCGGTCATGGGGAGGGCTCCTTTTATTGAGAATCCATACATCCTTGTATGAGGCAAGATTTATGCAGGCTAGTTTAACAATGTCAACTACTGTATATGGACAATTTTGTTCGATTTGTATCACTCCAAAGTAACTCCTCGTGTCATTTATCATATCTGTGGTTTACTAAAAACTTCTGTATTTTATCATGTCAAGCCATGGTTACTCTTTCGACTTCCAATGGTTGTGTAGATTGTATAGTTAAAGACAATGGAAGCTAAGGAAGAGCAATACTATTTAGCATAGGTGATGCCGAACAACACTATTCACCAGGTCCCGTATGTGGAAAGAAGTGGTAGGACTTACTGTTCGTGAGTAATTGTGTCTGGCAACACTCATGCCCTTTTGCCCTATCTTCTCTAATGACTGTTACCCTGAAGCTTTCACTATTTCATCAGCCGTTAATGAAACTGCATTTTGTGCGTGGGAGCAGATGATAACTATGCAAAGGGTGAAATAAAAGCAGGGTACAATAATTGTTTATATATATACAGACACACACATATTTTAGTGAATTGGGGTGCATCCAGTTGAATCTGATCTGAGCCGACAGAAAGTTAAAAGACTGATGCTTCCTATACGGAGTTGAAATGTGAAATATGGAGTGAAAACAAAGTACGAACTTCAGAAAGGCCATGTTCAGTTTTTTTTTTTCAACTTTTTCCTCCCTTTTCTTTTGGCTTTGATGGGAACCAACTTACTAATCGGTGCTTACACGCAAATCTGATGAAAGGCAGCAGACAGAATGGTTTTTTGCTCATATTTGTTTGATAGTGACTTAAGTTGACCCTTAATGATGCATGGGACAGCAATGGCGATCTTTCATTGCCTGCATTGGCTTAAGGAGATGAAGAGGACATGATTCCAAATTTCCAATTACAAGCAACACCGACTTTTTTTTTTTTTTTTTTTCTAGTTTTCTTTCAGTTGTCCCTTAATGGCCAATTTGACATTCGCAGGACCATTGGTCCATGACTTAAAAGATTCAACTTTAATTTTAATTATGAAAAAGAAATTATCGAGTCAATCCGTTTGGTTCATGAATTAGAATATGATATTATAATTATTTTTTATTTACGTATATTTTTTATAAAAAAAATATTATAATAAATCATGATTTAAATTAAAGAATGAATACTAAATAAGTAAATGTAAAAACAAGAATGGGGTGTTCAAGTGGAGGCAACGACATAACTTTCAACTCCTCTATCCGACCAAATCACCACGTCACACAACACAACATGTAAGATGATGATGATGACGACGACCCTTTTCTACTTTGAGTTTGAAGTTAAAAGCCATACGTCAGAAAAGCTGCAAGTCCCAACTCAAACTTTTCCAAACTCTAACGCATATCATTAATGATCGAAGGTACTCCTCTCTCTCTCTCTCTCTCTCTCTCTCTCTCTCTCTCTCTCTCTCTCTCTCTCTCTCTCTCTCTCTCTCTCTCTCAGCATTCCTATTTCTCAATAAAAATTTCATATTAGATTATTCATCCAAGGGTTTTTATAATATATCAAACGCACACAAAGGCTACAAATGGTAATAACCACACTGTCAGCTACTCATATATATATACACACACACATGTATATATATGTATCCGAAATGGATTGTCGTGTCAATTTTTAATAATTTAACCTCGTATTTTGAAATGCCTCCAACTGAAAGATGATGTTCAGATAAACTAAGATAGCAGGGGCAAAACAGTCTTAACAATCTTACATGAAGGCTGCATGTATTGCAGTTGATTGTGCGGGTCCCATTGAAAAAGATAGCCGTTGTGAGGAGCGGTTGTGGCAATAAAATTACTTGGGATTCAACCCACAAATGAAAATGACCATGCGATCGAGATGGTCAAAGAAATAAAAATTATAAAAAAAGGAGAAATATAATGCTCAGAGAAGAGAAAAAAAAAAGTAGCCGTTAGGCTATGCAAGTAGAAGAGCCCTGAAATGATGTTCTGATAAACTAGATACCAGGGGCAAAATAGTCTTAACATTCTTACATGAAGGCTGCATGTATTGCAGTTGATTTGTGCGGGTCCCAGTGAAAAAGATAGCCGTTTTTTTTGTTCTTTTGCTAAAAAAAAAAGAGAGCCGTTGTGAGAATCGGTTGTGGCAATAAAATTACTCGAATTCAACCCACAAATGAAGGTTACGTTTGGCTCAGGAAAATTTAGAAAAATATTATAACAAATTAAAAATCATAATTTTAAATTTAAAACTTTTAAAATAAACGGAGCAGAAAATGACCATAAGATCAAGATAGTCAAAGAAATAAAAATAAAAATAATAAAAGAGGAGAAATATAATGCTCAGAGGAGAAAAAAAAAAAGATTATGTTGAAGACTAGCCGTTAGGCTATGTAAGAAGAAGAGCCCTGCACCTTAATGCACTCACCACCCGACAATTTCTCTCTCTAAAAAAACATGCTCACGTGCTCTTTCGCAGTCACAGGAAACCCCATCCATCCCCATCCCTACCTGTAGCTCCGACTACTTAAAACATTCTTCCAAGTGGCAAGACCGAAACGAGGGAGCCATTAAAATACCCTTCTTCAATCCATTTTCGCATCTTCAACTTACTTGTTCATGGTTATTGATAGATTCCACAAATACCCAGTTAACAATTTCAGTCTTGAGATGAAAATAGCATTAGATTGTTGGCATTTTCTCTACTTTCTTCCGTTTCTTCTCGTCATATTATGCGTGTCCGAGCCAATGTCAAGCCAAGATTGGGACGGTGTGGTCGTCACAGCGGCAGATTTCCAATCACTCCAAGCGTTCAAGCACGAGCTCTTCGACCCAAAAGGCTTCCTGAGGAGCTGGAACGACAGCGGCTACGGAGCTTGCTCGGGCGGCTGGGTCGGGATCAAGTGCGCTCAGGGACAGGTCATTGTGATACAGCTTCCATGGAAGGGATTAGGAGGCAGAATCACCGAAAAGATTGGCCAACTCCAAGCTCTTAGAAAGCTAAGTCTTCATGACAATTCCATTGAAGGCTCAATTCCTTATTCCTTAGGCTTGCTTCCGAGCCTCAGAGGTGTTCAGCTCTTCAACAACCGGCTCTCAGGTTCAATCCCTCCTTCGTTGAGTTTTAGTCCATTGCTTCAGAATCTTGACCTTAGTAATAACTCTCTTAGTGGGACTATCCCACCTAGTCTAGCAAACTGTACCAAACTTTTTAAACTTCATCTTAGTTTCAATTCCCTTTCTGGGTCAATCCCATCTGGTGTTATTGGCTCAAAATCCTTGATCTTTCTTTCTCTTGACCACAACAATCTCTCTGGTCATGTCCCTGACTCTTGGGGTAACAACAATAGTACAACACGAAACAAGAATGTTTCTTTCAATCTTCAGTCCTTGACCCTTGATCACAACTCTCTTGA